GCAAAAGATGGATTCAGTGACAGGTGCTAGGTTTTTTTAAAAAAATTATTTATTGGTGCAATATAATTATACACAATAATGGGATTCATTGTTACATATACCTACATGTACACAATTTAACCATAGAATTTGGTCAGTTTTGTTCTTGGTACCTCCAGGTGCTAGTTTTGATTGAACTTCTTTAATGTAATCTCTTTTCTATTGAAATACTTTACAATCTTATATTTACTGATCCTATAATGTACATGTTGTCAACCCAAACAAAGTACTTCCATGGAATGCTTTCTTTTGGCTATAACTGAGCAAGGAGTATTGACAATGATTAATGCCTGTTGTTTAGCGTTCTTTCCACAGACAGCTCTTTCTATTATATTAACCTACAATCTTCTCAATAGCCCTCTGAGGGTAGCTTAGTTCATCTTTTTTTTTGGTAAAAATAAAGAAAATAAATATTGGAGTTAAATATGACTCAGCCAAGAGCTTATCATTAGTAGTGGCAGATGAAAAATTTAATGCAGAATAAGGAGTTCTTTACACCACCCCACACAACAGATAGTGCTTGGCCTATTTCCATCAAGACAAAATGTTTTTCAATATTTGACTCATCATTAGCACATTTATTAGGAGGCTGAAAAAATAGACGAACATATGAAACGCAAATTGCTCATTTGTAATGTCTCTGAGTTGAGGAATATATTAAAATTATTGTAATACAAAATTTTGGATTATCCTTATGCTGTGATAGTCTGTGCAGCTAAATAAATAAATGATTATAATTTATAAAAGTCAAGAGACAGGGCTGGGGATGTGGCTCAGGGGTACAGCATATGCTTTGCAGGCACAAGGCCCTGGGTTCAATCCCTAGTACTTGGAAACAAAAATTCAAGGGATAGTTTTTTCTTCTTGCAGTAACAACTGAAAAGTTCCTATAAGACCTACAGGTCACAATTATAATTCTGGACAAAATATAAAAATCAACTATCTACAGGTACTGGAGAGTAACTAAACTGAGTAGAAACTGAAGGGGAGTTTGTACTAGGAAGAAGGGTGATTTTCCTGATTCTATGACTTTTCCAAGCATACACATTAGTCTCCACTAGATCAGCTAAAACTCATCTGTAAACCAGTCTAACTGGTTTGCAGTATCATAAATCAGAGCTGGGGTGACCAGCTGGAGAACAAGAGGGAAAAGATCTAACAGTTATTGAATGAGAACAGAAACTCTAAAGTCTGCAAATAAACTGTCCAAATCCCTGCCTGATCCATAGATTATGTGTGTATAGTTCAGCTATTAAGGAGCCTAATTAAGAATAAAATAATTGAATATAAAGTTTAGTGTGACTGCTGCCATTAACCACAATGAACATAAGAATTTGAATTTTATTTCATCCAAACTAACGGCCTGTTAAAACAAACATACTAATCAAAACAACAAAAATACTCTTTCAAGGAATGTAACAGAATTCAGAGATTCTATCCTTTATAATAGACAGGACACAATTCAAAATTATAAGCATATAAAGAGATGGAAAAATGTGACTTACACTTGAAAAAAAAAGCAGTTGAGGGAGTGTGAACCTGACCTGGCCCAGGTGTTGGTATTAGCTTACAAGAGTTTAAAGCAGGTATTATAACTATATCAAGTATGTAAAGAAACAGATGGTCTATGACTTGTGATGGATCAACTTCACAATTGTTCAACTTTATGATATTATGAAAGCGATACAAATTTGGGAGAAATTGTACTTTGAATATTGATATTTTCCTGGACTAATGATATTGAATGTGATACTCATATAATGCTGGGCAGGTGGTGGTGAGCTGGAGTTCTTACTCAGCCACGTGATCATGAGGGTAAATAAATAATAACCTACAGTGCACTATGTTGCTATGTGCTGTGTGATATTTAGTGGGTTAAATATTAAATGCATTTTCAACTTATGATGGATTTATTGAGATGTAACCCCACTTTAAGTTGAAGAAGATGTGGATTCTTAATGAATGAACACACAAGAAGTCTTAACATATAAACAACCTACAAAAAAAAAAGAGAATGAAATGAAAATTTTAAAACTAAAAGCTACACTAAAATGATACGACATGTGGGTTTTATACAGCTTGAAGATGACAGAAGAAAGAACCAGTGAACTTGAAGCTAGACAAATATAAATTATCCAATCTTGAGAACAGGGAGAAAAAGTATTGGAGGAAGACAACAGAACCTCAGATATATGTACAATAATATAAAAATATATAATCTTTTAAAATGGGAGTGTTAAAAATGAGAATGAACGAAAATATGTGAAGTAATGGTGAAAAATATCCTAAATCTGATGAAAGATCATTCAAGAAGCTCAGTAAACCCAATTAACATAAGTATAGACATACAAATACAAAATTGCTAAAAAATAAAGATAGAACATTTCAAAAACAGAAAATGATGCAATACATAGCTCCACTTTGGATTATTGCTGTCATTAAAAAAAACAATAGAAATCAGTAGATAATTTTTAGGGTGCTAGAAGAAAAAAAAATGAAACTGTCAACCAGAATTGTATATTTACAGAGAACACCTTTAAAGAATCAAGGTGAAAAATTAAAAGACATTTTAGATTAAAGAGAACCAAGAGAATCTGCTTTCAACAGACCTTACCTTTACCGAAAGGTAAAGTAAAATGATACCAGGCAGGAATAAAAAGCACTGGAAATTATAAGCATATGAGTAAATATAAAATATGTTTTTCCCATTATCTCTTTAAAACACATATGACTGTTAAAAGAAAAATTTGAAATTTTGTTGTGGGGCTTATAACATATAATCTGAATACAAATGGTAACAGGGAGTTGGCAAATGATCCTGTTTTATTGGAGAAGGAGACTGTGAAGCTGAGGCAGAGGCCTTGCAAAAGATGGATTCAGTGGCAGATGCTAAGTTTTTTTTTATTGTATTAACACATTATAATTATACATAATTATGAGGTTGTTACATATTTATAAATAATTGCAAGGGTCTTATGTTTTACATGAATTGATATACTTACCCTAAGTAGACTGTAAAAATTTAATTAAATATTACATTAACAAAAAGCAACCACTATCATTAGTAAATAAAACAAAATAAAATTATAAAATATATTTATTTACTCAAAATATAGGAAAGCAGGAACAGAGGAATGTAAATCAGTTTGTAGAAACAGGAAACAATAAAGTAGCAGATTTAAATTTAATCATTTTATAATTACATTAAACATAAATGAGCTAAGCAGTTTAATAAAAAAAAAATGGAAGGAGAATATAACTCAATTTAAATGGTAATAGGAAATTTGAGAGATTATAGCATAGTGACTTTGGTTCTGATTATAAAGATTATTGAATTCTAAACTAACAGTCATAGAATTTTGTAGGCCCTCAGGTTTTTTTGAATGGTTTGAATGTAGCCTTTCCTTACAGCAGGGATATACAATCTCTAGAAAATATCGTTAAATTCAAATTTGGGGAAGCATGGATTGAGGTCTGAGTGCTTCCCTTCCAAGAGAGCTCTGATATCCTTATGCAAATTGAGCTCTCTTCCCAATGTCTGGTTTTTGCATAAAATCTAATTTGCTATTTGGTCTATATATAAATAACTCAGAGGGTCACTTGAATGATGCATTATAGGACAAAGAGGTTAGCTGCTTTAAAGATCTTCTAGATTAGAGAAAAAGTTATATCCCACTATCATATGACTGTTGTAATTCCCTTTAATAACTACCTTTCTTCTAGTTAGACTAGAAGCTGTCTTGTTTCTTCTTGTCATCCCAGCAAAGTAACCCAGTGCCTGGCAGGTAACAGACACTCAACAAATATTTGCTAACCAGCTACCACAACATGACCCTTAGCCTTAGATGTAATTTACAACTGCCTATTGGATATATTTACCTGTATAGTATTTACCTGAATAGTATTTGCTAATTTTTAAAAAACTAATTTTTATCAATTTTTAATTTTATATAATAAAAGGTTCCCACTCTAAATATGAAATTTTATAAATTTAATAAGTGTATATACCCATGTAACTACTACCCTATCAAGATATTTAATATTCAAAAAGTTCCCTCATGACACTTGCCAAAGATTGTGCCCTTACATTTCCTCCCCAAAGCGAGCTGATGTATCCGTTGATCTAGGTTGGCATTTTATATTAGTTTTCATTTTCTAGAATTTTATATAAATGCCATAATAATACAGTATGTACTTTTTTTGTGTCTGGCTTCTTTTGTTCCTCATGGTGTTCTTGAGATTCATCCACATTGTTTCACATCTTAATAGTTTATTAGAGTTTTATTCCATTGTTTCAATATGTTACATTTTAAATAATATTTACTTATCTATTGAGGACTATTTGGATTTTTTTCCATAGCTTTTGGCTAATGTAAATAAAACTGCTATCAACATTTGTAAACAACTGTTATTTGGACATATGCTTTCATTTTTGTCTGTGGAAATACTTAATAGAATGGCTAGATATTTAGGGTAGGTATATGCTCATATGAAACTTCAAATTATTTTACATAGTGCTTTTACCACTTAACATTTGCCCCATGATGCATGAATTCTAGATACTCCATATTTTCAGTAACACTTGGGATTGTCCTTCTTCCATTCCTTCCTCTCTCCCTCCCTTCTTTCCTTCCTTCCTAATTTTAGTGGATAAGTGACAGTATCTCACTTTAAAATTCACATGACCAAACCTCAAATTCATATTCTACCCACTCTTACCAGCTACCACTTTGGACTTTTATTTTAAAACAAAATGAATAATATTATGCTAGAAAATATTAGTGACAAAACAACAACAAACCATTAATTGAGCATTTATCACTCTCCTAACTTTAGAGTATAAGCTTCATGATGGTAACATGCCTTGTTCTTTGCTTTATTTAGCACAGTGCTGGAGGCTTAAAATGTACATTTATTAGCTATTTGTTGTTGTGAAGTAAATTATTTGAAATCTTAGCAACTTAAAGCAACAAACATTTATTGTCTTACACTGTTTCTGAGCATTAAGATTGGGGAGCAGCTTAGCTGAGTGGTCCTGGGTCAAGGTTCTTCCGTCAAGCTATCAGCTGGTGCTGTAGTCACTTGAAAGCTTGCTTGGGGCAGAAGGATTGGTTTCCAAGTCCTACAGCCAGGGCTACTTGCAAGAAGCCTTGGTTCCTTGGTAGTTGTTGTCAGTAGTTTTCAATTCTTTTCCAGGTGGAACTCTTTGTTGGGCTGCTCCATGTGGTTCCTCAAAATGAGTGAGCAAAGAGAGAAAAAGCTAGAAGTTAGTTACAGAGATCAACCAGGAGGTGGGGATTGTTGAGGACCATCCTGGATGCCAGCTAATATAGTGCGTAATGAATATTTGTTGATTAAACTGATGTGTGTTTGACATACACCATCTCATTTTATCCTCATAACAATCCCATGGTCCATTTTCCTCAACTGAGAAATGATGAAACTGACATTTACAAATTTAAGCAACCTGTCCAATTCTTCTAAGTTCTTAGGTAGCAGTTAAACCAGAGTTCAAACGACTGTAAAAGTTATGAAAAATGATTCACAGTGAAAAGGAAGAAATCAAATTATTCTAAGAAGACATTGATTTATAATCTTATTTTTCTTTGAATCAAACTCATTTGTATTTGGGGAAAGAAGTTAGAAATTGTATCAAGAGGAAAACCCCCAAACTCTGCAGGGGAATAGAGTTAATTGGTTCCCTATTTTTGTAGTTGAAAAGGTGTTGGTATCATTCTCTCCTACCATGCTTTTTCCAATTCTTGGCAGATCCTTGGAAACAAAGAAAGTCAAATTCTTCCGCTGACTGCCCAGAGTTAATTCAACAAAAATCTAGCAACTAAATATTGTGCAAATAGCACTGTGGTAGCTTTCAGGATCTACAAAACACGTGATAGAGTATATGCTGTTCAAGAGGTCTTTGGGTTTAAGGTGATAAAAACATAACTATAATCAGACAAGAAAGAGTAAGCATCATGGCACATAGGAAATGCTTATTGGGATTTGAGTTTTTAAAAGACCAGTTGTGTCTTTAAAATACATTTGTTTAGTAAAATAATTCAATGTGACTCTCTCTGACAATCAGCCTTAGATTAAACTGGAAGAGGTCAACCTTCTTTAATATTTTAAAAAGCAGTTGGAAAACTTTGCAGAGGTAGTAACTTGTTTTTCTTTCCAGATGTCTGTGTCAGGAATTACAGTTATCCATAAATGGTGGCAGAAAATGGGCTTTATACACCTTTTAGAATGCAAACATGAAGTAGGTATAGAGTAGGTATAGAGATTCAAAGTCCAGGTAGAATGTTGGAATCCAAACAGGAGAATTCAAACAGGAGAAGACTGAAATGATAGCTAAAATGACAGTGCTGGGGTAGAAGTAAATTGGAAAGACTCCTCACTCTAGGTAGAAACAAGCCTTCTAGTAGAGTTTAAATAATTATATGTTCCCTTTGCCGCTTCATCAGGGAACCTATCTTGTGCACAATTGGAACTGACTGGAGAGTCTGTGCAGAAATAAGTTTCAGACAAAACTTTGCCCTGGCCATTGAACAAGCTCAGCTTTCAGCCTTCTGCAGAAAGTTAAAACTCCCTGGCTCCAGATTTTAACTGTGGCAGCTTGGGGGCAGGAGTGACTTTGGTAGAGCTAGAGTGGCGTTGTGGCAGAGGCCACAGGTGGAACCTGGATTTTGAATACGCTTGAACGGGAAGGTGTAGGATGCAGAGGCTAGGGAGGGGGAAACCTGGGTGGGCTGCCTGTTGGGGAGTCAGAAAGACACCTAGAAAAAAACCTATGAATGTACTTGGCCTAGGCCTGACTGGAGCAAGTTTGGTTAATCCAGATGGGAATTGTGGTGCAAATAGTTGTAACTACAGAAGAGGGGCAGATCAGGCTTCTGGCCATGCTACAAGGGAATGAGTCTGGGCGAGGGGCGAGGTCTTTATCACTAAATAGCCGGCCTCCCAGGCCCTCCCTTGCTGCTCTTTGGGTTTCAATCTACCCTTGGTAAGGAACAGCATGTTGCTGCAGATAGGCTAAAAACCACCTGGCATCCCCAACCTGCCCCTTTTCCAAAGTTCTCCGCTCCGCACCAGCTGGGGTTAGTCGCCAGAGGCTAACATCTGGCGGGGTTGGAACCGGCTCAAAAACGCACCTTTGCCAGCTCGCTCTCTACTTGGGTTCCTGGCCGGGTGCAGCCGCGTCCAGGAGAATCTTGCAGACTCTTAGATTCCTATGTTTTTGTTGGTATGAAGAGGACAGTTTTCTATGACTGTAGAAGAACAATGATTACTGAAGATACGCTCCAAGGTTACAAAGCCTACAGGCGGTGCCTGCGGGGCAGAGGGCACAGCAGGGGCCGGGGGCGCAAGGCTTGGCTTGGAGCGTCCGCTCACACTTCTGGGGCTACCGCGATCAGCTAGCACACAAGTGGCCAAGAAAGAAGTAGCGAGGGCGGTGCAGATACCTCAAAACATCAAATCGCGTAGCTCCTGGCGCCCACAGCGCGCAAGGTACGCTTCGGGGCGGTCCTGCATGACCCCGGAAGAGAAAGTTGTTTTGGGGAAGGGGAGAGAGGAGAGCGTATTAAGTAGTACTAAAAATCAAAAGTTGTTCTGCTCCCGTCAGGCCGCCTCTTCTCCGCCTCGTCTTAGCCTCAAGCCCTTTCAGAATCTGGATTCCTCAAAGGGTTCGATGCTCTCCCAGCCTGAGCCTGAGTTGGGGGACGGTGAGCCGCCCGCCTGCAGGTTTCCCGACCCTCTTCAGAACCAGGTCTCCAGGAAAACCCGGAGCGGAGCATCCCTCGGGTGGCTGGGAAACGCCCTCGGCGGGCGCCCAGCGGCGCGCATGCTCAGAACGCGCGGCGGCAGCGAGTAGGAAGCTTCCCGCGGCAGCAGCAGCGGCGACAGGAGGGTGGGAGGGGATTAACCGGCTGGCGGGCGGGGGCGCGAGGACGCGGGAGGAATCCCGCCCTAGGTTCCTTTGAGCGTTTTGGACCACGAAGCCCTGCGCAAGGAGCGAGTGAGCCTGGGGCCAACTACGAGCGCGGAGCCTGCAGCGGGCGGCGCTGAGCGGGGCCCCCGGGCAGAGCGGGCTCAGAGCCCGGGGCTCCGCGGCTCGGGACCCGGCTCCGGCGGGGGCGGCGATGTTCCACTGCATCCCCCTGTGGCGGTGCAACCGTCATGTGGAGACCATCGACAAGCGCCACTGCTCTCTCGTCTACGTCCCAGAGGAAATCTACCGCTATGCTCGTAGCCTGGAAGAGCTTCTGCTGGACGCTAACCAGCTCCGCGAGCTGCCCGAGGTGAGTGGCCGGCCTTACCTGCTCCCCGGTCTCCGAGAAGCGTGCCCAGCCCTTTCCCACTCCTCTTTTCCTTTCTCCCCTGTCTTTCCTACCTTTTAGATCCTGGCCGGCCGGCAGGTCCAGCAGGAAACACTTCTTCCTGCATTCACCTGCTTCTTTCTTCCCTTGCTTCTGTAACTCCATCCTTCCCCAGTAAAAGTTCTTTTACATTTTATACAAAGGTACTTGATTTCTCCCAAGTAGTTACTAGAGCTTGTCCGATTGGAGAAACGTTCTGGGCTAGTAAGTAGCTTAGTTGCACGTCTAGGTACTAACACCAGGTACTTGTGCCCGGGCAGGTGAAGAGCCAGGTGGCTCGGAATGTTCCCAGCTGGAGGCAACCGAGCGCCGCATCCCGCCCCCGGGGGACGTTCCCCTCACTTTGTTTCCCCATCCGGGGCTCAACTCTCCTTTCGCCAAGCAGGTCTCTGAATACCTTGGGACCTGGGCAGCACGCGAGTGAACCGCACTATCTCGCACTATCTCGGCATCTTAGCAGGAATGTGCTCCAGGCCTTATCGCGGATGGGCTGTGCTCTGAAGAGCTGTAGCTTGGCCAGTTTGCTGTGGCCCTGGCAGCGCAGCGAGATAGGGGGCAGGAGGAAAGACGGGTCTGGGGAACTGGGCACAGGTGCCCAGATACCCAGATGCCAGCCACTTGGGCCTTGCCTGCATGGACCTGTTGCGTGTTAGGCGCTGCGGTGAACGTCATCGGAGACTCCGCGGGTGGATCTGCCTGGCAGCTGTCTTTCCCAGAGCAACCGCGTTCAGCCTGCTTACTTCTGACCTTTCAGTAATGTGTTAACCTCTTCAGAGTTGTTTACGTAAATTAATCACTCCTTCGCAGCCGGAACTTTCAAGCGACATATGCAGATTTTTTTTTTTTTTTTTCTTTATTGAAGGGTCAGGGAACTGCAAACTGTTAGTCCTAGGGTTTGCCTGGGGAATTCAGCTTGAGGAACTTCTAAGGAGGAAGATATCCCTAATTCAGGTGTGTGCAGGAAGTCCTTGTGTGCCAATCCAAAGGTGTGCAGGAAGTAGGGAGACTGCTGGGAGGCGGGGAGAGGACCTGGAGGCCTCAGCGTCGAAACTCAAGTTATCTTGCTTGGTCTTTTGGTTAAACACAAACCGCGTCATTGTTACAGAAACCCTGGTAAATGTTCTGGCTCATTAAAATGACCTGATATGTTCTCCAGCGCTGACAGTGTTTTGAAAAATCAGAACGGTGTTTTTCTCAGCATTTCATGCGTTGTTATTCTTCTTGGATGAACTTTCCTTGGTTCGTGTGGGATTGATTGGATGGTTTGCTCTGTGTAATCACAGAGATTATCCTCACCAGGATCTTTGCAAAGCCCCCAGGCTTTATTTAGCTTAGAAGCAGAAAAGCCATCCAGTTCTCTCAGGCATTTATTATTTTGCAGGCATTTTCAAATACATGGTTTTGTCTGGATTTTAGCTTCCTTAAATGTGACTGAAGCGACACACTCACTTCTTTAAATTATATAATTTTAGGCATTGAAATGTGGAATATGTAATGTAATATATTTCTAGGACTTCAGAATTAAATTATTAAAGATTGAGTGAAAAGTTACTCAACTAGAAACCTTGCAGTCCTTGCCCTTCTTGGTGGTTGCTTTCTGTCGTAGAACGGGAAGATTTCTTTTGACTGAGTTGCCTTTTTATTCCCTTCTGCCGAATTTGTAGGTTTTCCTGTAATGTTGGAGAATTTAGCTTGGCATGGAAATTACAGGTTTTGGAAATGTCAGGTATTTCTACTGATCGTAGAAATGGAAACTCAGAAGCTCAAAATAAAGTCTAATGGCACTCTGTAAATATAGTAAATATTTCAAAGGCTAGAGGTGGTCTTGCTTATTGGTAATTATTGCTCTTAAAGTTAGTAAGTTTTGAGGTCATGTAAGATCTATTTCTCCCTGACTTATTTCACCATAGGTACTTGGATGTGTACTTACAAGAAATGAACAGCCACCTTGAAAGCAGATATTTGTTCCATTCACAATCTTTTCTTCCATTGCTTCACCTCTGAGATCTGTATAACTCATGGCTTCTGCTCACTGTTGCTCCTGCTCTCTACTTGAAACTCCTGTCTCCTCAACTTGCCACAGGGTTGCTCTTTTGCTGATAAACCTCAAAGATCCTTGTGTGGTGGCCTTACCAGTTGTGTATTCCTTTCTATGTAATTTGGAAACACAGCTAAAGGGGATGCCTGCACCCCCTACACTGACAACAGGTTTCAAGATAGTGACAGATACCTTCTTTCCACTAAAAGGCCTGCAGCCTCTCATTTGCTTCAACATCTTCATTTTACAAATTGAGACTCAGAATTGAAGCGACTTTCTCAGAGCTATCCAGCTGGTTAGGTGCATTCTCTGCCCTCATTCATTCAGGTGTGTACCAACTACAGCTGCTTTGGGTACCTAGCAGGAATCTACCCTGTTCTGTTTCTCACACATATCAAATCTTCAATTATTCAGTGCCCCCTTTTATACTCACCTCATTAAAACTTGGTCTTGTCAAAAAAACATTTATTAAGGATGATTCGCTAGTTATTGGGAATATAGAGCTTAAAGGAGCTGTGATTCCTATGTGCTGTTCACAGCTTTGTGGTGAGGCAGATTACTTCGGTTCCAGATGTGGTGAGTGTGGGGTGGGGAAGGCACTAGAGTTCGTCACACCACACTCTGCAGATGTGATGGTCACTCACCTGAGGCCCAGCTCATCTGTACCAGAGGATGCCTCAGAAGCTGTGTTCTTAGCTTGCCACCTGTTATTTCATCATCCTTTCCCATCCATCTGCTGTTCCCCTCCTCTCTACTCCCTGCTGTGGAATCCTTTTGAGATCTGTTCTAACAGAGATGATGTCACTTGAACCTCTTTGAAGTGTCGGCATGATTTTGCTCACTCTTTTAGCACCTAGTAGGTCTTAATCAATAAGCAGTTATATATTTGTTGAGTGACTGTTCCTGGGTCTTGTAGAAATCTTCCTCTTCTTCTTCTTTCCCTTGCATTAAGCATATCCCTACTCCAGCATCTATCCTTTTCTTATATAGTCAGGGTGTTCAAGGTGGAAGTGACTTCCATGTGAAGGCCATCCATGTGGGGAAGTTGTTTTGTTTGGCTTGTGCTATGGGATCTTGGCTTCCTCTGTGTGTTCCCACATTTCAGATGCCATTGTTTTTTCCTCGGTGTGCATCATTTCTCAAATATCTCCAAATATGTGTGCTTTACTGTGATCTCTTTAGCACCATTACAGTGCTTAGTATAGTAGGCACAAATACTTGAGTGAATGTATTCAAGACTTCCCAGCTTAAAAAATTGAGTTTCATCTGTAACCCCCCTTAGTGTTCAGTTGATCTTTTGTAGATTGTCAGATAACATTATCTCAAATATCTGCTCCTGTAGTCATTCTTTCTCATATCTTGCTTTATTTTTTCCTCGCTCTTGGGCACTTATTATTACCTAAGTTCATACTATGTAGTTAGTTATTTACTAGTTGCTTGTCTGTCTCCCCAAGTAGAACACAAGCCTTGCAAAGGCAGGGATGCTCATTGCTGAACCCAGGGAAGTACGTGGTGCATTGTGAGCTCAAATCCTTGTTGCATGATGAGACCTCACATGTCATTATCAGTAGGATGCCCCTGTTTCTTAAGCCATGATAATTCCCTTTCTTTTGGTCTGACTTGGTCAGTTGAAACTAATAATGACAAAAATCCTTTTTCAGAACCTGGGAGCCTTTGTTGAGTCTTTATTCATTCCCTGTTCTGTGCAGGATACCTTTGGCAGCCTTTGAAATAATTTTTATGCACTGTTAACATATTCTTCTATGAATGTGATTTCAAGTGCAACATCTCCAGCTGAAATCTGTTAAGGGGATACCTATCCCCACTTGGAAGAAGTTCCTTTTGTCTTAACCCAGCTATGTTTCAGTTTAGATCTTCAGAACTGGCATCTCGTCTGAGCAGTTCCATGTCTGAGGGGTGGGACAGCCATTCTTTCTGTCTCAAAAATCCATGGATTTATTTTTGATCCTTCTTTCTGTTCATTCATCCTGTCAACAAGACCTATTGTTTCTTCCTTCAAAATGCCATCTTTCTTCTCCTACCTGGTTGGTTTCCCGTGGATTTGTATTGTCCATTGCTGGTCACCTTGGCCAAGGCTCTTTAGAATTTGTCTTGAAGAGTAGAGAGCACAGGTTTGGATTCAGATAGTTGAGGACGGTATTCCATCTCTTGAGTATTGTCGTCCAGCTCTGGTTTCCTCAGGTGTTAGAGTAATACTTACCCTATAGTGTTATTCTGAGAATTAAAAAGATCATGTGTATATACTACTTAAAATAGCAACACAGATCTAACATGTCTAAAATCTTCCTGAATACTGTGGCAAGACCATTTTATTACAAAACAGTGTTTATTAAAC